AACGGTACCCTAAACCCTAGACCGTAAATCCTAAACCCTACGAACCAAGGTTTAAAGTGAAGTCGGGTGAGGCTGACACAATTTGGTCAAATAGAACATCCCGCCTTGCTAATCCCTCCCCCTAAAATCCCTGAACCCTAAACCCTAAACCGCGTATTCTTGGAGTTTTAAGGTTCCGGGCTGATATTGGAACCCCCCACCCCCTGATATAGCAAATTCTCATTCTACTAAGATACACCACGCTGGGAAGATCTGATATCAGAGTGGCGGGGTTATTGAACATTGGGGAACGGGATTAATGCCCTACAGCCTAAACCCCAAACCCTAAACCCTAAGCCCCAGACCCTAAAACCCAAAGTCTAGAAGCAACAACAACCAACAACCAGGAACTCCTTGACAGGGCCTACTTGTATGATAGGAGTCCGGCGGAATGTGTTTGGGTTTAGGGCTGTGGGTTTAGGGTGCAGGATTTGGGGTGTAGGGTTTAGGGTTTGGGGTTCAGGGTGTAGGGCTTAGGGTTTACGGGAATCTGGCCAGAATGTCCCAGCATGTTGGCTGTTGACATACCACGAAGATGGACCAAATCGAGTTAGGCATGCATACTGATCTTAGCTGTCTTAAGGATCCCCCCTAAAAGTTAAACGTTTAGCCTCCTTAATATAGACAGTAGGAAAACCGAAAAGTTAAAGCCCTAAGGCAGGCAGAAGACAGCCAAGTATATAAATATTCTAGGGTTTAGGATTAAGGCCTAGAACTTAAAAGGAATAGGTTTGGGTGTTTTAGCTGTCTGGGTCCCCGTGGGGTAAGAAGAGAGAATAGAGGGTATAGGGGGATTTTAATATAATATGCCCCTCCGTGCTTGGGATGTAGTTCCTTTTTGGCTGGAATAAACGAAGACTCTCACCCAAAAACCAGAACTCACAAAAGGGACTACATAGGAGCCCTTGGGTACAACGCAAAACCCCACGTATCCCTGCATAACCCCTATATTATATATAAATATATGAGCAAAAGCCTAAACTCCTGCTATCCCCCTTAACAACCCCTATAGTACTCCCCAACGTAATCCCCTATATAACCCCCCTTTAAGGAGTCTAGATTATGGCTCATATAAACCTGTAGATCCCCTAAACCCTAAACCCTGTAAATCCCTTATATTGGGTAACCCCTAAACCCTAAACCCTGTAAATCCCTGATATTGGGTAACCCCTAAACCCTAAACCCTGTAAATCCCTTATATTGGGTAACCCCTAAACGCTAAACCCTACAAATCCCTTATATTTGGTAACCCCTAAACCCTAAACCCTGTAAATCCCTTATATTTGGTAACCCCTAAACCCTAAACCCTGTAAATCCCTCATATTTGGTAACCCCTAAACCCTAAACCCTGTAAATCCCCTGTAACCCTAAACCCTAAACCCTAAACCCTGTAAATCCCCTGTAACCCTAAACCCTAAACCCTGTAAATCCCCTGTAAATCCCCTGTAACCCTAAACCCTAAACCCTAAACCCTATGTAACTTTGGTAACGAGAGGGATCGCGGCTCCTCGTTCTCAGCAGCGCCACTGGTGTTCAGCGAGTTGTTCAGGGAGGAATTCACAGACCTCAGCGTTTCCCTGAACCTAGGGTTTAGGGTTTAGGGTTTAGGGTTGAGGGTTTAGGGTTTAGGGTTTGATGGAGGAAATCTTGCACCACCTTAAGTCCCCAAAGTCCTAGAAATTACAGTAGTTTAGGGCCCCTAGGTGGTGCAAGATTTCATCCATCAGCAGTAGGGCTTAGGGTTCAGCGTCCCAAGTATCCCTAACATAGGACGAAGAGACGTAAAGACTGTAAGCTTCTGCAAAAAAAAAAGCGAAATCCTATGTTCTGGACAATCAAGTTACTAGAATAAGGAAACCGTACAATATACTATACCATACATCTGTGTGAGCTGCATTCTGAACTCCCAGTACGCACCTCAATATCCCGTATAGCAAGTAAAGTAGTCCCCAATAAAATCCCTTATATACCCCCCTTTAAGCAGTTTAGATTGTAGCCCGTATCATGGTAGCTTAATTGAAAGTCCTTAACCTAAGCGGAGGCACTGGAGGGGGTAGTAAGGGAATCCATGATTGTAGTTTAGGGAGGCTGCCAAAACATCTCCTCCTTCGCATTATCTCCCGGATAACCCTAAGCAACCAAGCCAAGCCCGGAAGAGCAAAGCTACAATGACCTGCAATGACCTAAACAAGGGGTACTACGGGGCTTGTTCTCAAAATGATGGGCCCCTTTCGGTGATAGATTATATTATGGCACCCTCTATTTAGGGCTACCAAAGAATGACCTACGCCTAAACCCTAAACCCTAAACCCTCAAGCCTACCTAAACCCTGAACCCTAAACCCTAAACTCTAACGCCTAATCGCTAACCCCCAAGCTCTAAACCTTAAAGCTTAAACCTTAAAACCCTAAACCCCAAATGGTAGTTTCCATTTTCTTTTCCATTACCCTTATATAAACCCTACATAATCCTATATATTATACCCTAAAGCCGGCTGTGTGTCAACTTTGCCCGCCTCGGTGTACGGGCAGCAGCTGGGACAGGCCTGCGATGACTTGGTGCAGGGCTTAGGGTTTAAGGATTTGGTAGGTTTTTAGGGTTGTAGGGTTTTAGGGTTTAGGGTTAAGATTGGGGTTATATAGGGATAATGGAAAAGAAAATGGAAACTACTATAATGGGTTATATAGGGTTTTAGGGTTTAGGGTTTTAGGGTTTTAGAGTTTTAGGGTTTAGGGTTTATATTGCGGTTGTATTGGGATAATGGCAAAGAAAATGGAAACTACTAGTTAGGGCATAGGATTCAGGGCCTAGGGTTTAAGGGTTTGAGGGTTTAATGTTTTCGGGTTTGGGGGGTTTAGGGTGTAAGGTTTCAAGGTTTAAGGGTTGAAGGTTCAGTGCGAAGGGTTTAACGTTGTAAGGGTCCGGTCCAGTGTTGAAGGCTTTAGGGTTTAGGGTTGAAGGTTTTTGGCGTCCCGATGCAGAGATCCACGGGCGTATCGTGAACCTCTCAAGAACTCGGCCCTAAACTGAAGACCCTAAACCCGAAACCCCAACTTTCCCCTGGTTTCCTAGTACTTTGGGTTAAAGTGACCCATGTTCATGGGTAACTAGGCTTTCTGGGTAGACCCTAAACCCCTAATCCCTAAACCACATACCCCAAACCCCACCATTTCTTGGGCAATAAGCTTCGAGCTGGGATGACACGTGGGATCTTCAAGGCCAAGGCAGTAGGAGCAGAGACTGTACTAGTACATGTGGGGTTTCCCAAACTTAGGGGTACCTTTCTGGCGGTCCCAATAAGAAAGACTACAGTATTTTGGGGTCTATATTGGGATTCTCTCATTTTAGGAAATTACCATATAGACCGGGTACAGGGGGGGTTAAGGTTTCAGGGTTTAAGGTTGCAGGGTTTAAAGTTTAAGGGTTTAGGGGTTAGGCTTGGGTTACCATGAGGGGCTACGCGGAGTTTAGAGTACTTAGAACCCAGTTGTAAATGTTGCTAGAACCAAGTACTAGCCCACCCCGAAAACATTTGCACCGGCTGGAAAAATCCGTATTGGGGAGGGGCGGGGGGAGGGGTAGATGGCTTAAAATCAGGATTTCAAGTTCCTTCTTGAAGTACATATTCCAACGAGCCTAAACCCCACACCCTGAAGTCTAAACCCTAAACCCTGAACCCTAAACCATTATAGTCCCCCTTAAGTACATAGAATATGGGGTATATGGGGATCTGATTGCGATATACCCACAGCCATATTCTATCTGCTTAAGGGTGACCAGACCCTTAAAGCCTAAACCCAATAGAAGCACACATTTTGAAATGAGCTATAGTCTAAACTCCTAGTATCCCCCTCAATAAGCCCCATAATACTCCCCTGTATAGTCCCCTACATAACCCCCATTAAGGAGTTCAGACCCATGGCTCAAATAAGGAGTGTTGAGGGTCTCCGAGCTCAAAGCTGTCAAAAGGAGGATGGAGGAGATCCTAAGTCCACCCCCTTAGGGTTTAGGGACCCTAAACCCTAAACCCTAAACTCAGGGTTTTGGTTTTGGGCTTGAGGCTAAAAAGTTTAGGTTTTAGGCTTTAAGTTTTATGGGCTTGTGGTTTAGCTTTCAGGGTTTTAGGGCTTAGGTTTTGGGGTTTACAAATGAGGGTTGCGAAGTCGAAGCTCCATCAAGCTTGCCCCAGCAACAACCATTTGTTTCGCATATCGGCTAGCCGGGGATTTGGGAACAGTTGGAGAACCGGCTGAAATAGCCTGGATGATGGTGCTAGTCTGCTACTCTAAAGTACCCGAAATCCTACTAAACCCTAAAGCAGCAGGGTTGCCGGACAAGTCTGTTCGGAATTTTGGGGCGCTCCTTTTTGCTCCTCTGAAGCGTTGACGTCAACTTCACCAGAATGATTGCTTCTGTACATCGCCAGACGCGCTGCAATCTTCAGAAATGCGTGGTGTCTGCCCCAAGGGTCGAGTTACCCAATCTTAGTCCTTGGGACTATAGTTGGCTATACTATAATAAGAACCTCATCTACCCCATATTCTATCTACTTAAGGGTTCTGGGCAATAATAGCTGATTACTTGGACCCTAAGGGCTGGCAGTTCCCCAATCTCCAGGAAGTCTGCAGTTTGGGTTTAGGGTTTAGGGTTTAGAATTTTAGGAATGTGGGTGGGTTGTTGAACTCCCAAAAAAACTTCGGGAGCACGGGAATCCCGTAAAGGTCTAAGAACCCAAGAATCATTTGATGGCCCAAATCCTGCGTTACAATCATCAGAAACCCAGATTTAAGCGTTAAACTATTGGGTGCTTGAACCCTGAACCCTACTGTACCCTAAACCCTCCATACCCATTTATACTCCTATATATATATATAATCGTATATATATATATACATATATCCCTTTCCATGGACCTACTTATTGGGAACATGGACCCTTAGGGCTTTAGGGATCTTAAAGCGTCACACAGGGATGAGCTCTCGCGGGTAGCGTCTCTCCAGCTCATGCAGAGGCACTCCTTTCACATAGTCATTCTGGCATCGCATGGCAGTGTCCACGTCTTCAAACCTGACGGTTTAGGGTTCGGGATTTGGAGTCTGAAGTTTAGGGTTCAGGGGTTTAGGGTTTGGAATTTAGGGTGTAGGGTTTGGGGTTTAGGGAGGCCAGTGCAGAGTGATGCTTGCTGACGGCCAGCCGAATGGCAGGAACATGCGCGAACAAGCTTCCCAAAGTGGGCAAACCCTGAAATTAAACCCCAAACCCCTCAGGACCTTATCCCTATGGGAGGAAGGCGGGATTCATAACCCTACATTCTAAGCGTTAAGGCCTTTGAAAGCTGAACGGTTGCAGCTGAGATCTTTCAGCCGGGAAACGCCTGACCTGTGGAGCAGACGTAGATGGAGCTGCCCCACGCCAGGTTAATAGTGCGCCGGAGCCCATTTTTGTACCTGTTGTTTAGGTTAAGAGGGGCTGGGGTTTAGGATTTAGGGGTTAGGGTTCAAATCCCGGAACCCTAAACACTACACCCTAAACCCTATAAACCCTGAACGCTAGGCCATGATGGGGCCAAGCACTTATTTTGAATCCTACATGTAGCCATCGTCTCAACTCCTAGTATCCCCCTTATATACTACCCTATACAATCCCCTACATAATTCCCTTGAAGGAGTTTAGGGTTTTTAGGGTTTAGGGCTTAGGGGTTAAGACTATAGCTCACATGCAGCAATGATTGTAAGGGCTGGTTGCTTCCATACTGCTGATACTGCAAGCAATGCAGGACCTTCATGGACTATAGTACCATGATTCCCTAATCCCTAAATCCTCAACCCCGGGATAGGATCTGCTCCGCTGTGCGTGACTTCGGCAAAAGCGAACACCTTTCCTAAATAATGGGTTTAGGCTTTACGGATTAGGGCTTAGGGCTTAGGGATTAGAATTTAACGTTTAGGGATGAGGGTTTAGGGATTCGAATTTAGGGTGTAGGGATTGGGTTTAGGCTTCTGGGGTCCATATACCCTACAATTACATAACCCAGTAGCTTAAACCCTAAACCCTAAACTCTAGACCCTAATCCCTAAACCCCTAAAAGCCTAAACCCAAAACCCTAAAACCTAAACCCTAAACTCCATAGCCCAGCAGTCTACTACTTACGGAGCTGGGAGCCCCCTAAACAGCTGGACCTTCGCATTGCAAATCTGAACCCTGGTTTCAGGGGTTTAGGGTTAAGGGTTCAGGCTTGATTAGGGTTTAGGGTTTAGTGGTTTAGAGTTAAGGGTTCAGGGTTGGGGGTTTAGGGTTGAAGGTTTAGGATTCAGGGTTCAGGATTGTGAGTTTTCTAATCCAAACACTACAAACTCCTACAGACTCCAAACTGGTATTCTGAACTCAGCCTCTACCATCTCTCACGCCACATTCGCTGGAATCCCGCAACCCCTGTTTAGGGTCTAGGGTTTAGGGTTTAGGGATTAGGGTTTAGAGTTTAAGGTTTAGGGATCAGGGTTTAGAGACTCGGGTTTAGGGTTCAGGGAATCCGTACAAAACCCCTCGGAAGACTACCTGTACGACCCATGGACTGAATTTAAGGTCTCCGGTTCACCAGCCATACATGCACAAATCCATCTTCCTAAGGAGACCGGCATATACTCAGCAACAACTGCGCTACAATCCCGAATAACCTCACATGCTTTTTTGGGGTTACCAGTACCAGAATTTCGTGCTGGATCTATGAGCCCTAGACCCCGAAACTCAAATCCCAAATCCAAAGCCAATAAGCCCTAAACCCTAAATCGCAAACCCTAAACCTTAAAACCCCAAACCTTAAACCTTAAACCCTAAGCCTTAAACCCTAAGCCTTAAACCCTAAACCCTGAACCCTAAATGCAACCAACAACCACCCCAACAAACAGCCCTCTGAGAGAGCCCTGCCTGGCAACCACAGGATAACACGAGCCGCCGGCTTGGGCTTCTCCAGGTACACTTGGTTGGCTTATCTCCTTGCAATACTGTTGATACTAGGGCTTAGAAATTGGGATTTAGGGTTTGCAGAAGTAAAGCCTATAAACCCTCAAGAGCCTAAACCCTAAACCCTTAAGCCCTCAACACTACACCCTTAGCCCCAAACCCTACATGCAGTCCATCTCCTTGTAGCTTCGGGCCCTCAACCCTAAACCCTAAATGCAGTCCATATATAATATAGTAGTTTCCATTTTCTTTTCCATTATCCCCATATAACCCCAATATATCCCCAATATAAACCCTATATAAACCCTATATAACCCCTAGTAGCATCTCCATCCCTAAACCCTATTAGAATAGTTTCCATGTTCTTTTCCATTATTCCCCAATAGACCCCTATAAAACATGAAACCCTAAACCCTAAACCCTAAATCCTAAACCCTAAACCCTAAACCTCCAATCTCCTTGTAGCTTCGGGACTCCCCCCATATAACCCCAATATATCCCCAATATAAACCCTATATAACCCCTAGAAGCCTCTCCTTGTAGGCCCGGGACTCCGTGATGGTGAAGGAGCCGTCTCCATTGACTTCCTCAATGCAGCCAGGCTCGTTTGATGCGTCCTCCTGGAAACCTGGGCAAAGCTGGGGAGGTCTGTGTTCAGGGTTTAGGGTCTAGAGGGTCTAGAGGGTCTGGAGGGTCTAGAGGGTCTAGGGTTTGAAGGGTTTAGGGTTCAAAGGGTTCAGGGTTTCAAGTTTAAAGGCTTTACGTTTAAAGAGCTCAGGGCTTGAAACGGGTTAAAGGGTTTAGGGTGAACAAAGAGTTGCAAAAGAGATGGAACCTACTATATGTTTCTAGTTAGTTTTGCACATTGTTCTGGGCTATATAACGGTTACTATATGGAATGAGGTTGGTACTACAAATCTTCCATGATGTAAGTATACCAAAACATGATTATGCCCAAGATCTAGCCTTTTTAAGCTCATGCAGGGTTTGTACTGTAAGGCGGAATGAAGTGTGGAGTAGCTCCTTCATGAAGAACATGGCGCAGTTTAGGGTTTAGGATTTCAGCCTACAACAGTTGAAGTGAAGTGAGTCTTGAGCACGGCCTGCATCTCACTTGCCCCTGAAGATCCAAAACCCTGAGCCCTAAGCCCCTAAACCCTAACACTAAACCCTAAAGGCTGCAGAAAGGTGAATTTCCAAGAAAACTAATCGACATGGACATGGTTTTGGTTCAGGGTTTAAAGGGTTTAGGGTTAAGAGTGTAGGGTGTAGGGTTGAGGGCTTAGGACTTTGGTTCCATACTAATTAAGCTACAAGAGGGGAGCCCTATGTCCGCCCTTAATGGTCCCTTGGTACGCTGCGTGCTGACAGAAGCTCGTGTAGATCTGCTGAAGACTGAGAATCTGGCTGCAAATACTTTGAAGCACCCTAAGGCTTCCCGCTACCGAAATAGTAGGCTACTGGATTATGCAACTATAGATTTAGTCAGGGCTTAGGGTTTAAGGTTCAGGGTATCTAGAATCCAGATCCCATTACTTAGATGACTAGACCGGAGCCCTAGGGGCAAGTAGCCATATAGCAGTTATTGCTTGTGTAGGTGAGGTGGCAGCCGAAGGGCTCTAAGTTGTGCTTGTTACTACATCTGCCCTGAAGGTCATGTCAAACCCCGAAGCAAGGACAAACACTAATGCTTGGGCTCCTAACATTTTGGCCGCTCGCAAGACTCCTTCTTTGAGGGATGTTGCAGTTACGTAATAATGTACTACATTCCCCTCAAGGTTTCGGGTTTACGGCGCTCTCTATAATTACAACTCGTTGTCACTGGCTATAACTAGGTTTTCAACCCGATTCGCAACTCCCGGGTCCCTCAGAGTTCGCCCAAGCTGTTCACCCCCAAGCTTTCAACCCCTCGACCCCAAACAACCGCCACACGGTTTAGGGTTTAGGGTTTAGAGGTTTAGGGTTCAAAAATCAGCATAGCGGCGCGGGTCCCGTGCGAACTCGTGGATCAGATCTACAAGTTTGCGAGGCAAGCGCTTCCTTGCCAAAGGGTGAACGTAATAGTTAATAGCGGTAGGAATGGCAGCAGTGAAGCAATACAACCGTGACACGAGCCATAGTCTAAACTCCTAGTATCCCCCTTAGTAAGCCTGCAATACTCCCCTATATACGTTCACTTAAGGAATTTGGTAGTTTCCCAAAATGGGGGGACCCCAATATAGACCCTAATACACTATATCATAAGGACACCCAAAATGGTACCCCTAATTTTGGGAAACCCCCATTTAGACTATAGCTCACATGCTGGTAAATACTATAGTAACCGTGCCCTCAACACCGGGATCCTGTCTTTTTAGCCTTGGACGACCTGAGCCCTACACTTCCGTGATTTAGGATTTAGGGTTTGGGGTTTAGGATTTAGGGTTTGGGGTTTAGGGTTGTTCACAAGCTTCAGCTACCAAGACCCCTGGGCGGATCTAGAAACAGAACCCCCCTTAAGGGTTTGAACAAGGTATCCAATAGTAATATGTGGTACCATATGAGTTACAGTCTAAATTCATAGTATCCCCCTTAATAACCTGTATAATACTCCCTATATATGTCTATATACCCCCATGAAGGAGATCCTTTCAGGATTTGGGTGCCCGGACCCAAAATGAGTGGAAGACATGTTCTGACGTGTTCTGACTATTTCTGGAGGTCTGGGGTCAGTATGTAGCTAGGGTTGGGAGGGCTCATTGAATACAGTGCTCCATGCCTGTTCAGGGAAATTTACAAGAATTTCAATTCCAAATCTCAGGCGATTTTTTTACTATTCCCTACATAAACCCAGCATTTAGAGTGAGGTCGGGTGAGGCTTTACATTCCCCTGAATGCAGTACTCCAGGCCTGTTGTTGCCTCTAGGAAGTAGAGCCCCAGGATGCCCGCACAGGGTTTAGGGCTTTAGAGCTTCTAGGGTTTGAGGGTTCGGGTTTAGGGTTTTAGGGCTTCTAGTGGCTTAGGGGCTTTAGGGGTTTTAAGGGTTTTAGAGGTTTAGGGGTTAAGGATTTAGTAACTTTTTCGAAGCCCGTAAGAGGGATGTGTTTTCTAGATCCGCCCAAAAGGTCTGACAAGTGAGAAGCTGCGCTTCGGTCAGTGTAGTGTTGAAAGGATTAGGTTACAAAGGGAAAACGGAAAAGAACATGGAAACGAATGTAATATAATAGTGTTGTATATATATAGGGGGTTATAAGGCTCATCTGGTGCAGGTAGCTTTGATTTCCATCTTGCAAGGTGCTTCTCAATCGTCGAACTTAGTTCCTTGCTGGGCGGGGGGATATCTTAAGGGCGGCTGGATGCAACAGGGATGCTTCTTAACCTCGAACCCTTGGCTTACTAACCCTTAACCCTGAACCAGGTGAGAAAGAGCTTCGTAATTTCACAGGTCACCTTGGATGCATGGAAGGTTAAGGAAGTCAGCTCCATGCAGTCCCAAATGAGCACCCGCTCCGAGCCGGTTAGGGTTTAGGGTCTAAGGTTGAGGGTTTAGGGTTTAGGGTTGAGGCTGCCTTAAGCCTACCTGCCTGAATAGGGTTTTGGGTTTCAAGCTGGAGGGTTTTACGGTTTAGGGTTTGCGGTTTTCAGGTTTAGAGTTTTAAGCCTTAGGAGGTTCAGGCAGGCATCGTAGGACCCTGGCAAACTTGCGATGGGCCTGCAAAAGGAGAGTTGAGTTCCATCCGTAAGTTGCCTCTCAAGGGTTTAGGGTGTAGGTTAGGGTTTGGGGTTTAGGGCCTGTTAAGCCCGAACAGAAACCCAGTTTCCATGAAGTTTCGAGTTTCTTTGCCTCCTGCTCCATACCCTAAACCCTACATATCCCAAAAAACAGTTTTTTGAAAAGGGACCGCGTTAACCCTAAACCTTGAACCCCCGTGGTAGCAGTCAGGTTGAAGCACAGGCACCTCAACTTTCGGATTTCCTTCACCGTAGACGCGTTTCCATCCACCGGCTTCACCCACGCCTAAGCTGCAGGTTCACGTGAGCCGTAGTCCAAGCCCTGTTCGGATCCCCTACAAACTCCCGTTAAGGAGTTCAAGTAGACTATAGCCCATGTCAATTGAGTCTGCTAATTGGTTAGAATTCGGATGATTAAGATGATATGAGCCCGAATTTGGAAATGTCAATCAGATTCTGAGTTGGTGGCTTTCCCAAAGGGTTCATGTAGCCGTGTGGTATATACTTGGGCCTTCAAGTAGGTATAGGGGTTAGCTGCCGTGTGCACCATAGGTGCGGTCCACAGTAAGCGAAGCAAGACCTGCTTCACAAGACTTAAAGTAGGTATATGTGAATCACTTTGGGCACTAAGTATATACTATATAATTACATGAACCTAAACCCTAAACCCTTTGAGTGTAGGGCACTCCACGCAGCTGCCGGTTTCTCAAGCTTATCTTTTCTTTTTTGCGAGAAGCCGGTTCGGAGAATTCCCTAAGCCCTAGAACCCTAAACCGCGCCAGTGTCACCAGCTGCTTCGGTTGCGGGAACATACTGCGGGTGTTTACTTGAAGGATCTTTAAACTTTGTAAGTCTACCTACTATCCCCGATAACCCCTACTACAAGCCCCAGAACTCCTGTTACTAAATAGACATACTTAGCCAGGAGATCCAAGCGCAGTTCTGCCACCACGCTAATTGAACCCTAACCCTAAACCCCTAGCCCCTAAACCCTAAGCCCCGAAACCCTTACAAGCCTTAGAGCGTCTTCTCACGTTTTCAGGCTTGCCTGCTCGAAGTGTTCATCATCTAGACCTCCCAAACACCCATCTCTACGGGGAATACGAGGGTTGAGGGTTTAGGGGTTGGGGCTTCGGGTTTCGGGTTTAGGGTTCATTGTTAGGGCTCAGACCTCCGACACCAAAAACTCAGTCTAATGACGTTTCGGAAGGTATTTCGGAAGGTATCTTTTCTGCATGGACTGTAGACCCTCAACCCTGAGCCCCTATTAGGCCGTGAACCCCGGACGCTAAACTAGATATCCTAAGACCTAGACCCGAAATCCTACACGCTATATTACCTACTTCGGGCTATTAGAAGCCCTCCAAACCCCAAACCCTAAACCCTAAGCCTCAAACCCTAACCCCTAAGCTCTAAATCCTAAAGCTTAAACCCTAAGCCCTAAACCCTAGACCCAAGACCCTAAACCCTAAGCCCTAAACCCTGATCCTGGGTGTTTGGGAGGTATACCATGATGCCAGGAAGCCGTGGTCAGGCAGGTCCTCTTCCGTCCTGAAATGGCACTGCTCATGCTGCCCATAGCGGTTGAAGGTCTATCAGGTTTAGGGTCTAGGGCATTAGGGATTTAGAGCTTAGGGTTTAGGGTTTGAGGTTAAGGGAATTAGGGGTACGTATGCAAATGACTTAAGATGCAGTTCCCGATGCTTCAAGAATCCCTGGCCATCTTGAGCAAAACGCCAGCGGAACCGAAGAGGGTGACTGTAGGGGACGAAAACATGCGGGTATCATTGTGTGGTCAATCCCAGGTACCCTATGCCATAATTCTACCAGGAATCTAGGACCAACACATTATTCTTTTGGCTTCTACAATTGATTGTTGCTTCTATGAATCAAGCCGCGGATACATGCAAACAACGACTCCCGCGAAGAGACCCATGCATCATTACGGGTCATTTGAAGCTGCGTCAAAGTCTTGAAAACCAAAAACAAGCAAAAGGTCTGGTGCCAGTTAGATTCTGCGTGCAGCCAGCTCTCAAAAAAACAACAACAAAATGAACTCTGCACCCTTATTGGCCATAAGGTATAAAATACAGATAACATGCATCGAATCGGCAGAATTCCGCTCTTGTAGGCTACTCCTGTACCACATTTCCAGTATATGGCCGGATTTGGCGATCGTACTTTTCATAGGCCCTCACCCCTAAAAGTAGCTTGCTTGCAAAATCATGCCTCTTAAATCCCTGATAATCCTTGTAATCATGGCCTCTTACCCCAAAGCAGGGATATTGGCTAGGATTCTAAACCCTAAACCCTCAAATCTTGGGGTATTTCGGAGGGCTGGACAACAATGAACGGTCGACGCAAGATCTGCCAAAGTCGTCGCATTACTGTGTCCTACATACGAGCATTTCCATTTCATTGTCCATGTTCCTTTCCATTTGATTCTCCATAGGACCCTGAAGCCCAACGGCCTAAACCCTATTCTATCTTGAGCTTTGAGTTGCCAAGGAAGCAGCCCAACATAGGTGCTATTTATGAACTTCGACGGTCAAAACGAATCAGTAATTAGACTTATAGATCCCCGGGGGAGCGGTTTTTCAGTTGACCAGAGGGCGGTAAGTTGTGGGCTGTGGGCTGTAATATTTTCATATCACACCCTGGTCCTGTGTTCAATCAGCTCGCTTTCACCCTGAACTGCTACACCCCAGACCTAAAGCCGACACCCCTAAACCCCTAAACCCCTAGCCCGTAAACCCTAATTCCTATATATACACCTTAAGCCCAAATAGTAGTTTCCATGTTCTTTTCCATCATCCCAATAGAACCCCAATATAACCCTAGTAAGGGTCTAGTAACTCTACCCTAAAGCCCTGTTTCCATTTCATTTTCCATTCTCTTGTCCATTTGATTCTCCATTCTGGGGGGGGGGGGGTAATATCCCTACATAACCCCAATACAACCCTTATAATCCCTCTATAACCCTAAACCCTAAACCCGAAACCCTAAATCCTAAACCCTAAACCCTATACCCTAAACCCTAAACCCCAAATTCCATGAAATTCCTGATGCATTGCCTCGCTGGCTTGACGGCCCGCGGCTTCTGGGCCTTTCCCAAAGAAACCATGCAGCTGTATGGTATATGGCAGGCGTATAGTATTGTTTAGGGTTTATGGTTTAGGGTTTAGGGTCTATATAGGGGTTTAGGGTTTAGGGTTTATACTTCAGCCTTATAGTAGGTCTTTGGGCCCTGAGTGTAAATCATGTACGTACATGAAACCGAGTATACACAGCTTGATAAAACGTTGACACAGCAACGCTTTATCTGTGTGAACACAGTCAAGGGTTAAGGGTTTAGGGCTTACGGGTTTAGGGGTTTAGGGCTTAGGGGATCAAACTTTGCGAAGCAAGCTTAAATGAACAAACTTTGGGTCTTGCGGGTCTGAGAAGCTCAGGGCGCAAGCAATCCTGTGAGTTTCCACAAGTTGGGGGGAGCCCAATATACTAGACCATAGTCTTTACCAGGGGGACCCAAAGAGGCACCCCTGATTTTTGGAAACCCCGAATCTGAGTTTAACTTGCTGGTTTTCTGTAGGGAATAAGGGAATATCAACCTTACGTAATTATATCGCCCCTATATGATATAGGGATAGTAGGGAATAAAGGACTATAATCGGTTGAGGGCTTATAGGTTTTAGGGTTAGTAGGGAATAAAGGGAGATACCCTCTCTAAAGTCCCTAGATACTGTATTCCCCAATCCCCTACAAACCGCCAGGAAGTTAAGGAGATGACGGAATTCAGGGAGTGGACATTCCAAAAGATTCCCTGGAAAGCTCATGGCTCTCCAAACCTGAGACTACCAGGGTTTAGGGTTTAGGGGCAGTACTTTGAACACTAAATAACCAACAGACCTGTCCCCTCAACCACGGCTAGGCTACCAATTCTAAGCTGACTTTTTGGTGCACACTCAGGGACAATACAGGGGCCTCAAGAAATAGAATGGGGTTGCACGGTAGATTATAGTGCCAAAGTTCTAATTAGAAGAACTATGAGAGAAGAATAATAGAAAACATCAGGCCTCTACATTCTACATTATCGGCTATGCACTTAGCTGCCTGGCATGAGCAGTCTGGCACTTGGAACTAGGGACATTCATTTGGCAGGTTGTCTTCTGAGGCCCGCCTATCGAGCCCATGGAAACAAAAAGTACACAACAAAGCACACTGCCCACACAAATAAACCCTTAAGCCTAAACCCCATACACTCCATAAACCCCATAAAGCCTGTAAGCCCTATAAACCCCATAAACTCCATAAACCCTGAAACCACGTACAACATGTGGAAAAAACACGCTCGGATAATTTCAACCTTAGCACTCTTGAAGTGTGGAGTTTAACTTTTGGGGTTCTGGGTTTTGGGATCTAGGGTATTGGGATCTAGGGATCTAGGGCTTTTGGCTTAGGGTTTGGGTTTTTTTTAACCCCACGGGCCTTTGGGTTTTGGGTTTAGGGATTTAGGGTCTGGGGTGTAACCTGACAGCCAAACCCGACCACCCACACGTCCAAACCCAACAAACTCCTGACCGCCTTCCAGGTCTTTCGGAGCTAAACCAACACAAGGATATCAACCAAATAATCACAAATCCACATCCAAACTCACCAGGGCAATCCCAAAGGCCTGCAACCAAGCCCCTTACCTCTGCTGCTCAGGGTAGCTTCCATTATCTTTTCAATTCCTCCTATATACCCCTATGTATCCATAGATGCCCCTATGTATCACTATATACCCCCAAATAACCCTATATATCCCTATATATCCCCAAATGACCCTATGTATCCCTATATATCCCAAATAACCCATGTATCCCTATATCCCTATAAACCCGCAAACAACCCTATGTATCACCATGTATACCAAAATAACCCTATGTACCCCTATGTACAGTACCCGTAAATGACCCTAAGGATCCCTCTAACCCCAAATAACCCTATGTATCGCCATGTATATATATGTATACATGTATAAATCTCTCTCTCTCTCCCCAAATATCCTTATGTATCCCTTTTTATCCCCCAAATAACCCTATGTATCCCTATATATCCCTAGTGAACCCTAAACCCTAAACACTATAAAACCACCCTGTAAGGAGTTAAGACTATAGCTCACAGGAGTGTAGACCCAAACCTCCAAAACCCTAAACCCTATGGACCCATTATAGGGTTAGGGTTTAGGGTTTAGGGTTTAGGGGTCTAAGCTATAGCTCATATATCCCTTTAGATCCTATGGAA